GAGAAATAAGGCTGGTAAATGAGCTGATTTACCCAAGGTCACATAGACAGGTTTAGAATGCCCCCCCACTCGCACCCCCCACCCCACCGCCAATCTCCTGTATTGTCTCTCATTTCAACTCTCTTTACTCACTACATGGAGTTGAAAGCCCTACTTACCCCAGTAAACTTCTAGACCCATACTATACACCACAGAAGAAGCCACATTATCACGAAAGAAACCCCATGGAAATGATTTTTAAGTATGTAAATGTATCTCCTTAGAAATAATCCTCATTGATAACTTTCGAACTGACTTAAATTGTTGAGCTGATTACAGAGCTCAGCCTCAAGAAAAAATAGCCTTCAAAACAATATTTAGCTGTTCAGGTTTAGAGATGGCCTTGGCTTTCTCCTCTACCTGCATTCAGTCATCTTGTCTGCTGTTCTAAGGTCATTTAACAGGACAGTACTCAGTGATTGCACAATAGGAACAAAAGGAAGAATCCAAAGGATGTTTAGAGCTGGAGCGACATCAGCAGCTGATTCAACCTCCTTATTGTAAGCTCCAGAAAAGGCAGGTCGGGGAAGCAACACAGCACCACGAGAGAAGAGTCGGCCAGTTCACTGGAGACCAGATTCTAACTAGCGGACACCCTGTACTGCAAAGCCTCAGTTTTTCCTACCAATAAGGTGTGTCTGTGATTGGGGGTGGATGTAATGCCTGAATATGAACCAATGAAGCTCAGACATGCCGGAAAGGAATTTATCTGCTGCCACGAAGAATCCTGATTCTCTTGCAGAAGACCTTGACTTTCTTTGAGATCAATGTACTACCACAGAAGGCAGTATGGCCAGGGTTTATAATTGGGACATAAACAGAAGGGGAAAAAAAAAAAAAGATGATTTCTATCAAGAACAAAGCGTAATGCTGGCAATTAGAAATGTGGTTCAGTTTTCCAAACATTATTTTAAATATCCCAAGGTTTATCCCTAAAGGTTGATATGACTTTGATTTTTTAACTGCAAGAGTTGAAACTTTCTAAAAAGATTTTTTTAAAACATGATGAGTGGAAAAGTTGATGAAAGAGTGGGACAGATCAGGCAGAAGTCCCATCCGTGTTACTCAGTAGTGTAACAGTGGGTGTCTTAGCGATCGCTCTGGACCTCAGTCTCCTCACCTGCAAAATGGGGATAATCCTGATCTCTATTTTTTTTCTGTTTGTCTTGAAGATTACATGCAGTAAAGTTTTTTTCATGCTACTTGGCACATAGTATGTATTCAATAAACAATAGTCATAATTATTACAATCCAGTGCTGGTTCTGCCCCCTCATTCATCCACTGATTCGCTCATTTACACAGTGAAGGCACTCAATGAGATGAAGTTTATTAACTTCTCTCAGCCTTTGAGCTCCACCTCAAACTCCATCACTTCTTGGAAGCCAGAGTGGGAATTAATGATTCCCTCTTCCTTGTTCTCTAGCTGGAGCCTGATCCAGTCTGTATCTCTCTTGTTCCTGTATTTGATTTTTGTTGTTGTTGTTGTTGTTGTTTGCTCGTTAATATCCACAGCATACCTTCCTTGAGGTGAGGGAGATCTGCTCCTCTTGCTCTCTCTCACAGTCAACTTATATAGAGTGAACACTCAGAAAACCCGGGGACTTGCCCTGAATGCATTTTTTTAAAAGATTTTTTATTTATTTGACAGAGAGAGAGATCACAAGTAGGCAGAGAGGCAGGCAGAGAGGGAGTGGGAAGCAGGCTCCCTGCGGAGCAGAGAGCCCGGAGCAGGGCTCGGAGCGGGGCTCTATCCCAGGACCCTGAGATCATGACCCGAGCCGCAGGCAGAGGCTTAACCCACTGAGCCACCCAGACGCCCCCCTGAATGCATTTTTGACAACTGGACTGCTATGCACATGAAAAGTATTTGACAATTACAAACAATGGATTTGAACTGAGTTCTTAAGAAGCAGGGAGGGTTTTGGTTTTTCTGGTTTTGCTTTTGTTTTGGGAACTGGAGAGTGTGTCAAATACATAAAGACAAATATCTAGGCTCAGCAGGAGGGCATCTGCTATTTCTCTTGGAGATCAAGACACACTACAGATCTGTTGCTTGTGTTCCTGTGGCAATTACCATGATAACCTAAGAACCATGTAGTATCCCTTTCATTTCACTCTTGACAGCCTCAGGAAACAACAGGAGTGGGTGGTGCTTGTTTAAGCCCTGAGTTCTCAAGGATCAACTGTAGTTAGAGCTTCCTTGGATAGGGAGCATCAGACCTGAGATGAGCTATGGGAGTGGTGATAGGGAAGGGATGTGCTCCTGGATCCTTCCGTGCCTCAGTTTCTCTTTCTGAGTGAGGAGAATAATGATCTTATTTTCCACCATCCTAGCTCCCCAAATTGGGTTACAGTGTAATTTTTTAAACTATCAGGACAAAGGAGTCATGAATGTCAGTGTGGGTTGAGGTCCTGCTGAAAGAGCCCGCTCCAAAGCAGAGCTAAGGCTTGTTCTTCTCATATAACAGATGTAACTGTGGCTAATATTTATTCCGGACTTACTCTGTGTCAGGTGGTGTGCTAAGCATTGTATGTATATTAATTCATTCAGTTCCTGAAACAACCCAATGAGGTAGTCTCCATTTCACAGAGGAGGAAACAGAGGCACAGAAGGGTTAAGCCAAAAGCTACAGAGCTAATAAATGACAGAGGTCAGAATAGTACTCACATAGTTAAATGCCTCTGGTGCACTCTTAATTATGTTGCTGTACTGGCTTCCTCTGGCCATCTCTTTAATTTGGTGCCTACCACCATGGTGAGCATGTAGCAGATGCTCAATAAATATATGAATTGGGGTAAAACTAATGATACTCAAGCATGGTTGAGAAGTGTCTCCCTTCATCCTCTCCTTCCAGTTCCAACTCCAGCTCCTCTATTAAGGAAGGTACTTGGCTTTTAATGAAGTTTTTCCAGTTGGGAGTTGTGGACCCTTGGAGATCCATAATTAACTTTTCTTTGTAGTTTTCATATAGATTGAATACAAACACATTCTGGATCGTTGGGATAACCATCTAATACCAAGAACTGCCTTATGATTTCAGTGTCTATGTGGGCTGCACCTTAGTGCCAAGAGCTATAACTTTACCCCTCATGCTATTAAGAAAGGAATAGTGTAGGGGTGCCTGCGTGGCGCAGTTAAGCCTTTGGCTCAGGTCATGATCCCAGGGTCCTGTCCAGCTCTCTGCTCATCAGGGATTCTGATTATCCCTCTCCCTCTGCCCTTTTTCCCCACTTGCCTTCTCACTTGCTCTATTCTCTCTCTCTCTCAAATGAATAAAAAATCTTTTTAAAAAAACCCACAAAGTTAACACATATAATATTATACATATATATTATATATATTAGAGTCAAGTGAAAGCCAAATATTATAATGACAAAGGGTGTGAGTAAAGGTGTGGTTGCTGGAACAGAGGAAAGAAGTGAGAAAATTGTGTCAATACTGAGAGCAGGAGAGCCACCCAGAGCTCAAATGTACCCCTATCTGGGTAGTCAGTACCACATGATGCTAATAGTAGCTGAGTAAACATTACTAATTTAACATTACTAATTACTAATTTACATTACTAATGTATTGGGAAGGGATTTTTATATTTAATTTTTAAATTTGTTTTGGCTTTATTCCAGAATTGTTCATAAGCTGTAACAGAAATGTGTATCTGATTTAATGCTTTTATATAGTAAGGTAACATTATAAAAGAAACTAATTTAAGCCAATACTGGGGAGGTTTGAGAAAATTTTGCCCTTAAAATAGTGGAGGGTATCGGTTTCTCGCCTACTGAGAAACACTACACAACAGCACATGTTGGGGCTTTCCTATTTAAAATCAATTGCAGACACAAACACATTAGGTGCATCATTAACACCCTGGTGTGAAAGAGTATGTTAGACCCTCCCTTTCTGAGAGTGGGCTTTGATGAGAGAACGGACCCCTAAGGGGCCTGACGGAGAAAATGTGGCCTCTGTACACTGGGCAGGTCATTAACCCTCTAAACTTCAGTTACCTATCTGTGAAACAGTGGTTTCTGCCGCTTCTTCAGCGCAACGGTTGATGTATAAAGCTGGTTCCCAGAAGGGGCTCCTCGTCATCTCTATTACATACTGACGGACTGGGAGAGAAGAGGAAAGCTCTAGCACTAGATTCTTAAATGGCGCAGTCCGGCACTGCGGACTCCTAGGAGAGAACTCCAGGAAGCAGGCCGGCTGGGCGAGGAGGTGGCTCCACCAGCTGGTGCCCCTATAGAAAGCTGATCAGGGCGGTGGGTTCCGCAGCCCGCCCGGCACTCAGAGGCGGCCAAGGCCTGCCGCGCTCCGGGCCCCACGCACCCCGCGCGTGCGGAAAGGGATGCAAAGCATTGGTGGTCCTGCCCCCCGAACGCAGCTTTGCGTTCCTCGGAGGCACTTGAGAAACTGGGTGAAGCGGGAAGGACTTCGGTCATCCGCTAAAAACTCAAGTGCACAGAGTTCTCCCAACTCTTTAGTTTGCCGAGTTTCCCCATGCCCCAGGTGTAGCCCGCGTCCCCAGTTCTAGGCGGGGTTGGGGGCGACCCTGGGGAGCACTCCGTCTTCGCGAGCAGGCAGCTGCGTGCAGGCGGCGAAGGCCCGAGACTCGCTCGAGAGGCTGCGGCCGAGCCCCGCGGGTGCGCGGGGCCGGAAGGGTGAAGGCGCCGGGCTCCCCGGCCGGGCGGGCCCTCCGCGAGAGCGGCGCGGATGGGCGCCGAGAGGCCGAGACCGGCGAGAGCCGACGCGCCGCGGGGGCCCACCTGCGCGGACCGCACGGGGGCGGAACCCCGGGGCCGACGGCCCTCAGTTCCCGCCTGAGGCGAGGGGCGGGGGCTGGTGCGGACGCGCGGGCTGGGGGCGGGGGGTGGGGTGGGGGCGGCGTGCGCGCGGCTTCCCCGAGGCCGGAGGCGGGGTGGGCGGGCCTCGGGAGGCGCGGGGGGCGGACCCGCCCGCTGCCGGCGCTGCTCGCTCTCCCGCCCGCCAGCTCGCACTCGGTCGCGCGGCGGGGCAGGCATGGGAGTCGCACGCGTCCTCCCGGCGCCCACACCTGTAGGAGCCGCGCAGTGAGCCGCAGCCCCTGCGGACTGCTTGGCGCGGGTGAGTGCGGGCGCGGGCTCGGGACGCAGCGGAACTCGCGGGGAGCGCGGCGCCGACAGCAGCGGGACAAAGGGCCGGTGCGCGCGGCGTGGGGTGACTGCTGGCTGCGGGGGGCACCGAGGACTTCGCCCGGCCGCCCTTGGGGCTGGAGGGCTGGGGCCCGCGGCCTGAAGGAGCTCCGCGGAGACTCAGGGGCAGCAGGGCGCCTGCATTCACCGTGTCACCCGGCAGCGGATGGGAAAGACGGGTGCTGCCTTGGATGCTGGGTGGGAGCAGGGGAAGAGCCGGCTCTGGGTGAGCTCTCCTCCAGCTGAGCGATGACAACACCCCCGTCTCCTCCGCGCCCGCACACCCCCACCCACCACCAGCACTTACTTTCCTGGGGTTTTGCATACATGTATTCCAACATGATCTGAACATTAATTTTTAACTGGGCGCGTGATTGTGAACACATCTTAGCCAGCAAGGAAAGTGCAGCAAGCCCAGGTTAGGATCTAGGATCTTTTCTCTGGAACTTTAATTGGATGGCCGTGTGCTTCCTTATAAACTGTGAACTATCACCACCGTTGGAAGCAAATATTTCTTCTTCGGCCTGTGGAACGAGTTAACTTTTAAATAAAAGTTTGAAAAGTTTAAAAAATGTTTTCGAAGAGGAGGGAGAATTATTATTTTGGTGAGGAAAAACCACCATTCCCCTCCGGGATACAAATTAGGGTTGCTTTCCAACATCTTATGAAAAAGCAGCTGATAAAATTCCGGGTGTTTTATTAACCTTCGGGCAACACCCAAGAGACTTCAGAAAGAGAAACAGCCCCTGGCTGGTGGAAAGCTCCAGGTTGTTCGTGATCAGTGTGGGGATGGACTGGCTTCCCTCAGCGCCCGAAACTGGACTTAAGGAATCCCTCCCTGTGTGCTCCTCGGAGCACACAGGCCAATGCCAGTCATATTCACGTGGCCATAGGGGAAGGAGTGGACTTTATAGTTTGAGGTTAGCTGTGGCCAAAGCCTAATGCCAGTTAAAGTGAGGATATTTATTGCCCTTGTTTCAGGATCCTCCTTGTGCGTAAAAGCACTGAAAATAGACCTAAGGACTGTGTCTCTCAAAAAGCCTGATGGGGGAAGGAATTTAAGAGAAATGCTACAAAAGCCACTATGTTTACTTGTGAAAGTTTCAGCATATGTAGACCTTCTGCATTTGAATAAATTGTTTTACTTGTGTTCTTCCCACGTAAATAGTCACTGTCATGCTTTCCTGTACCTGAGCTGGAAAGGAAGCTTTCTTGCCAGGTAACTAATATGGATCTCATTTTTGTAACACCAACACTTTATTCAAGTAGATGGTGAATTTGGGTGCACTTTCCTGTTTGTAGTATTAATACTGCAGTGCCCATTGGTGGATCTGAGAGCATTACTGGCCCCAGTCTTCAGTGTATAATAGGTACAGGTTCTCCCACATAGTTTTCTTCTCAGAGATAGATCCCTTAGGATTCAGTCCACCGTGCATTATTCATGCATAACTCCCACTGGCTCTGGGGAATTCCTTTCTCCAGGTCTCACCACTGACAGTTTGGTACACTCTGGTCTTGTTCTGCCACCCGGTTTGTCCCAAGCTCACTAGGGTAGTTCATTTTGCCTAAAAGTTGATACAGAAGAAGTTAAACTTGGTTTGACCACAAGATTGTGTTTAGGGTGCCCAGGCTTATAAATGCCCTGTATTTCTTTACTGTCCGGGCTGTAATTCTTAAACCATTATGTGATTAGGTCTGTTTTCCTTTAACAGGTTCTGTGACTCGGGAAAATGAGACCAAGCCTGGCTGCAGAGGGTTCACAGAGCTTTTTTCATTTTTAGGTATTTGCTTTAGGAATTAGCATGGTTTCACTGTTCAGTATTCCTGCCGCAGATTCCATGGAAAACCTTTTGGTAGCCTTCCAGATGGTGTCCAAAACTTTTATCTCCACAGACTTGCCCACTGTTTGTTTCAACATTACTGTTTATAGTGGTCACAGGAATTCATCTGTTGTACGATAGAGAATGTATGTCCTGAGGATTAGATTTTTTTTTTTTTTTTCCTCTTCTCCCAGCACTTGTTTGCTAGAGAAGTTAGTCATTCTCCCGAACACTTGCCCTCTTGAGGAGAGTTGGGTTGTTGCAGTGTTGAAGACGAAGGTGCAGTTCTGGGGCAGAGAAGTGTCAGTGCCCAAACCTCTAAACAGATGGCTATGGTGTGTACGTCAATGTGCACAGTCCCTTCACCATTAGATTATTAGTGGATTTGTGAAGTAGCAGCATCCTCCTAATGTATAAATATTTTTAGATGGTGGACAGCAGGACAGTGGCTCATGCTGAGTGCTGGAGCACAGAATGTGTAACTCTTGTCAGTCAGAGATACAGAGTTGGAAAAGGAATCGTTTCTGTATTACTAAGCATGGCTTAAAAAAAAAATACTTGCTTACCTTAATTTTCCGTTCCGCTTTGTCATTCAGGTGAAGTGATACATGAGAATACTTGGTTGAGAACTTTACAAGATAATTATGTATGTGAGGAATCTTTATCCAGTAAAGGCTTATTCCTGGAAAGGAAATGTTATAGACTTGAATTTTTTTCATCTTGAGTTAGATAAAATGAAAATAAAATTTGGAAGGTAAGATTTGGAAATCTTTGGGTTTTTTTGTTTGTTTTGTTTTTTAAGGGGTGCGTATTTCAGACAGCTCTATAAAGATAAGGTGACTGATTTGTGAAGGCAAGAAAGAATTTCAGGGTAATGGAATCCATTAGTTTCCTTTCCAACAGTGAGATTATGAATGTTGTTATTATATCTGTTTCTATCCTATAGTGTTTGTTTAAGTAGACTTAAATGGGCATAGTGCAGGCTCGCTTAGAGTTTATAAAAATGGAAACAATACTTGTCTTCTGGGAAATTATTCGGGAAATTATCATCAGGTGAGTTGAGAAATTAATGCAAAGCCACCAACCTAATTTTAAAGTATCATGGTTATCATTGGCGTCTTATTAATGGGGAAGGAGTCAGGGTAGGGTGTGATTGCCTTGGGAAAGGGCCTTGATGGGTGAGATTATCCCCTCACACTTTTCTGAGAGCCTGCACACCCAGCCATCCTTCCACACCATTCTTGAAAGCCGCCCTCTTGGAGAACTGAGGAAGGAAATCTTGTCTCCCAGATAGGCAAGAGATTAGCAAAATAAATTTTCCTCTTCCCCTCCGCCTCTGGCCTCCTGAATTCTGTCCGTGTAGCTCCCAAACAGTAAATGATGGTGCAGATCCTGTTTGTGTACAGCAGAGTGCTTGCCCTGGGCTTTTGTGACCCTGGAAAATTCTAAAATTACAAAATCCTGGGTCTGAAAAGACCGGCACTAAAAAGACTAAAGGGATCATCCATTCAGGTTGTTACTCAGAATAATTTCTAAGCTACCCTAAACACACATCTGGTAAAGGGGTGAGCAGTTTATGCAATACATAACCTTAATACAGATGTCAGCTTAATCCCATTTGGGAGCCTGAGAACATACAACTTTATCTCCCAATTTATAGTCAGTTAAAAAAACATTATGTTGCATACCTCAAACTAATATAATTATACTTCAGTAAAATTTTAAAAATAATAATAACAGCAAACTTAACCACTTTGGAAGAATTTGACCTGCATTAGTCTGCTTTAATTTCTAAATATGAATTAAAGTCTTTTTAATGCAGTTTTATAGCTTTCAAAGTTACAAAGAGAATTTAATCAAGATATATACCGTCAGAACAAGGTCTTACTACAAGTTAATGAGTTCAGTTTAAGCAATAATATAGGGAACCTGCAGGCAGTGTTTCTGAATAATGGAAGTTTCTGTTTTTAAGGGATCCAAAAAGTTTATTCCTAAAGGATGATATCTTGACACTACCTTGTTGGTTTAGCAGACCTTTACTTATAGTTGGGCTGATTTCTCCTTCTCTGGCTAAATGATCAGAATTAGTTGTAAGGACTCTTCAGTTAGTAATATCATTGAATGACTGTTAGGTATTAGTTAGATAATATTCTATCTAGAATATTGATATTGATATTCCTTAGAGAATATTAATATCCTAATAAAACTCTCTTTAGCATCCTCTACCAGCATCGTATGATTTATAAATGATCCCAAAAGTTCTTGGCACGTCACTTGTCCTCTCTCTGAGGAACAAATTCAGTCCTGTATTTTAGGAAGCCGAGTGAAGCCGTGGCCAGTGAGAGACCCTAACTGACTGCCCAGCCCTTATGCCCACGAAAAAACTTGTCTCCATTTCTCCAGACCCCTAACTCTCCTAAATGTTTTCGGGAGCTGGTTCCAAAACATTTTTTGAAAAGACCGACCTTAACAAAAAATGAAAAAAAAAAAAAAAAGAAAGAAAGAAAGAAAAAAAAAAAAAATCCGTGACCTCACTGTGAGATAAGACACGTTTCAAGGACTGAAAATATTTTTAAAATGGGTTTGCTGTAGAGGCAAAGCACTTGGGAAAGTGAAATTAGAGTTAATTTTGCCTAAGAGGAGGTTAATTCATTAAGACCCAGTTCCTAGTTAATATTGCAGACTCTTTCCTGCCATTCTCTTCCCTGACACTCCTGCCAATGGACTATTTCAATGTTTGGTTAAAGAGATGCCACTGGAGGAATTCTGCTACAGTAGATAATTTAGGCAGTGCACTCCAGCGTCCAGTTCACGTGTAAATTTCCAGTTTGAGACTTGAGGATGCATGCTCTAGATGGTGGCCCATGGGAGCATGCTCTACCCGCCCTGTCCCTGTTCTTCATGCACACCAAAAAGATTACCTACAGTTTACAAAAACTCATAGCATAATACCATCTCCTCTCTCTCTCTCTTTCTCTCTCTCTCTCTCTCTCGCTTAAGAATCACATCTTGAGAATAGGAATACTTGGCAGCTTGGACCTCTGGATCCTGTGTTTTCTTTCTTAGATAAGCTGAAGTCAAAGGTGGCCTAACACATCTGCTGGTCCATGTTAGCAGGCATCAGCATTCTCCACGGTAATCTAAGGGAGGAGGCAAAGGTGTGTAGGGGTCCAAGACACAGCCCTGTGGGAGATGCAGGATTCCTCCTAGTACATATCACACTTGGCAGGGATTCTAGTGTGGAGGGCATTTAGTTACCCAGACAGCAACTTATAGAGAAAAAGGCTGTCCAGGACCTACATATGTTTAAGGACTGGGTCCTGAGCCAGGAGATGGGAATAATCAGACACAGAGCCGTTTCCTGAAGTTTCCTAAAGGGTTGTCCTCACCACAACTAGCCCACCGGGGAAGTCCCCATTAGGGAGGAAGGCTTTCCTAGCATTAGCATCCCCTCCCTCATCCACTTAGAGCCTTTAGTCATGATGGTATCTACCCTCCCCACCAGCAAGCACATGTAAACACGTATGTGCACATACACACGTTCCCCGGGGTTTCAAGGATTTGGAGAAACCACTAGATGTATTACCTTCCTGCAGAAGAGCCAAGAGACTCTTCCTGTTTGGCAAAAGGGAAAGAAACAATTTCAAAGAATCAGGAAGAGCCACGGAATTACCTTTTCTGGGAGCTCATTCCTTTTTTATCCTATCCCTGTTTTCTCTAACAGAAGTGGAATCAGAGAGAAGGAGCCAAGCAAAAAGATCTCAGAAAGGGGGCGGATAAGCACACCTCTTAGTAATATCGTGTGTAGATATTGGGAATGTGGGTTGGCATGCTCAGTTGGACTAGATCAGATCGATGGGATTTACCAGTTTTATGTAAAAGAAAGCAAAAGGTACCCAAAAGCTGCCAGCAGGTCTGTGCTCTCAAGAGGAAGAGAATGGGAACAAGGAGATGGCTTCTTCCTGACTCCTGCCAGGTGCCAGAGCCTAGGAGACCTAACCCTTCCATGTCCTCCTTTCAGGAAACCTTCACCATGAACTAATTACCTTACCTGCTACGTCAGCTTTTCCTGAACAGAAGATCCACAGCGAGTCAGAGCCAGCTGGTCCTTGAATGTTTATGGGAGTACTTCCCAATCTCATTTTTCATTGTTGTTTTTCTGGTGGGATGATTGATCCAGCTCTTTGAACATACATTTCAGGAGAAAATCTAAACTTCTTCAGTTAGTATACACAGTCTTGCATAATATGGTTCTTGCCCCCCGCCTCTCCCACCTTTGCTGAGCTAAGTACAGTTTCTGAAATGACTTGCACGGTTGCACGTCTCCGTGTCTTTGCGTACTACCGTCCCCTCTCTCGAAGTGTCCCCTTCACCCTGTCTTAGATTATCTAACTTCTCCTCACCTTCACCACCCACCTCAAGCATCACCTTCCCTGGAATGGCTCCCCTGTTCTTGATCCTCCCCACACCTGGATTCCATGCCCTTTTCCCTGAGCCGCCCCATCATCCACATACATTTCTGTCATTAGCACTCAGCATGCATCGTTCCAGAAATGTGGTTTTTGTAGCTACACGAATCACTCACTCACTCTTCGATGAATACAAGTACTCATTCAGTAAATCCACTCAATAAATCTTTGTTGAGCAAGCATTAGCATAGGGCCAAATTCAAGGCATTCAGTGGAGCCAGGAACATAGATACAAAGACCTGAAAAGTAACCAGCAGTAAAGCTCACAATGTGATACCTGATGCTACGTTAGAGCTTCAGATCTTTGACAGAGATTCTGTTAGCAGGCCACAGAATCCAAAGGAAGAAGGAATATCTTGTTTGCTAGAGGCCTGATGACTCTGGAACTAAATTCATAATAGTTAAGGTTGTTTTAAATTTAAAAAAAAAAAAAAGGGTTCCTGGGTGGCTCAGTCATTAAGTGTCCGCTTTCCCCTCAGGTCATGATCCCTGGGTCCTGGGATCGAGCCCCTCATCTGTGTCCCTGCTCAGTGGGAAGCCTGCTACTCCTTTTCCCACTCCTCTTGCTGTGTTCCCTCTCTTGCTGGGTTTCTCTCTGTCAAATAAATAAATAAAATCTTTAAAGATTTTTCAAAAAAAGAAAAAAGTCTCATGCTCTCTTTGGAGTCACTCCCCATTTCGAAGCGATAGGAATCCCAGTGAGTGGCTGTGGAGCTATCCCTCCTCGGTCCCTCAGTTAGCTGTGTAGTTGAAATTTACAGGAGCAAGTTGCACTGAAGGTTTTCCAAGCGCAGGCTGTACTGAGAACGGCAGAAATAAGGAAAGAGGGGCAGGTGGACCAGGGAGATGGGAGAGAATAAAAGTTTAGAACCGAGCACAAAGAAGGCCAGACATCACACAGAACCCGGGGCTGCCAGAGCAGCTCTTCTGGGGACGAATGACTGTTTGCTCGCCACCTCACGCTGGGCCATCATGAGGGGCATCTGAAATGTAGAAGGGAATGAACACCCCGTTTCATTTTGAGCACGGGAAAGTTCCCGGGTTCAGCCTTGGATTGTAAGTGAGACCATTATCTTGGGATTCCTCTCCACACCCTGATTCCTGAGGAGGGTTCACAGACTTGGAAACAATGACAGGCATGCTGCCGGGCTGTTTCCTCAGCCAGCCGCTGCTCAGCCCCTTGCCCTCCTGACCTGCTTATCTTTGTTCCTACAGAGTGGTGCTCAGCATGGCGGGGATCCCAGGGCTCCTCTTCCTTTTCCTCCTCCTGCTCTGTGCTGTTGGGCAGGTGAGCCCCTATGGCACCCACTGGAAACCCACTTGGCCTGCTTACCGCCTCCCCGTGGTCTTGCCCCAGTCCACCCTCAACCTGGGCAAGCCAGACTTTGAGGCCGAAGCCAGATTGGATGTGTCCTCCTCATGTGGACCCCAGTGTCATAAGGGGACTCCGCTGCCCACTTACGAAGAGGCCAAGCAGTACCTGTCTTACGAGACGCTCTATGCCAACGGCAGCCGCACGGAGACGCAGGTGGGCATTTACGTCCTCAGCGGTGGCAGGGGCCAAGAGTCTTCAGGAAGGTCTCGGAGGAAGCGGCAGATTTATGGCTATGACAGCAGATTCAGTATCTTCGGGAAGGACTTCTTGCTCAACTACCCCTTCTCCACATCAGTGAAGTTATCTACGGGCTGCACGGGCACCCTGGTGGCGGAGAAGCACGTCCTCACGGCTGCCCATTGCATCCACGATGGGAAAACCTATGTGAAGGGGACCCAGAAACTTCGAGTGGGCTTCCTGAAACCCAAGTTTAAAGACGGCGGTCGCGGGGCCAACAGCTCAAGCTCCGCAGGGCCAGAGAAGATGAAGTTTCAGTGGATCCGGGTGAAGCGTACCCACGTGCCCAAGGGTTGGATCAAAGGCAATGCCAACGACATTGGCATGGATTATGACTATGCCCTCCTAGAACTCAAAAAACCCCACAAGAGAAAGTTCATGAAGATTGGGGTGAGCCCTCCGGCCAAGCAGCTGCCCGGGGGCAGGATCCACTTCTCTGGGTATGACAACGATCGTCCCGGCAACTTGGTGTACCGCTTCTGTGATGTCAAAGACGAGACCTATGACCTGCTCTACCAGCAGTGCGACGCCCAGCCCGGGGCCAGTGGCTCCGGGGTCTATGTGAGGATGTGGAAGAGGCAGCAGCAGAAGTGGGAGCGGAAAATTATTGGCATCTTTTCAGGGCACCAGTGGGTAGACATGAATGGTTCTCCGCAGGACTTCAACGTGGCCGTTAGAATCACCCCTCTCAAATATGCTCAGATCTGCTACTGGATTAAAGGAAACTACCTGGATTGCAGGGAGGGGTGATGCAGGATTCCTTCCTGGCCACCCTTGATAGTCTTCGTGTACTTATTTTAGGAAAGGCCAAATGTTGTCATTGGGGTGTGTGTGTGTGTGTGTGTGCGCGCGCGCGTGTGCGCCTGCGTGTGTGATGTGTCATGATACCTTTTACCTAACTTTTTAAAGTTGCAAGATGCCTGGCTTTATGATTTGAAAACTGGTTTGTGTATCCTGTATCATTTAAGGAATTTAAAGGCATACTTTTGCATAGAAATAAAAACAAACAAACACAACACACTGATGTTTGGGACAATAGGGAATATTTACAAGTAAGTTAATCTTTCACTTTTGGAGAACTTTGAACTTTTTTCATCTGAACTTGTTTCAAAGGTTTATATTAAATATGTGGCATATGGGAGATAAGAGATTCTTAAATTCTTATGTGTGTATATATGTGTATTTTCTCCTGAGATTCATCTTGGGGTTTTTTGTTGTTGTTGTTTTTAATGCCTAGTCGTTAACATTTCCAGCGGGCAGTGTTCCCCATACAACTCTTAGGAAACTTCACGATACTTCATAGACAGGCGGGTATAATATTTTGGATTTGGAGGTGTTTGCACAGTAGTCCTTGATAAGTAAAAGAATTTGTTGACCCTATTGGCACACCTTTTAAACTGTGTCTTACAGTAAGTCAGTATCCCAAGTTGCTTGCAGTTTTGAAGTAGTTTCCCTCCCAAAGACTGTTGCTGTCCTTCTGGAGAAGACCCAACCTATGGTCCTGTCAGCTATGTGATGCACCAGAGAGGGCAAGACCATTTATGCCCAGCCTTCCACTTCACAGGATTTTACTAACGTTCCTTGAACTCGCTCTTTTCCGGAAGACAATCATCAGGACCCAATTAGAAAAAGCTGTGTATCGCTTCCCAGCGAATGGTTGTGGTCGCACTAAAGACAATCATTTCATTTTACCCCCGGAGTATAGCACATCTCATGTTTTATCATTTGGATGGAGTGATTGCAAATGAATTAAATTCCAGAGAGCAATGGACACATAGTACGGCAGATGTCACACCAGACTGAGCCCTTGTCTGGAGCCTGGCACAGGCCCACAGCTGAATCAGAATTGTTCTACAGTTTTCGGTGTGCTTTCAGGGAGTGATGGACTTGAGCGATTCGGAAACTTCTCTCCTTGACTTATTATAGTAAAAATATTTGGATGGTGCTTTAAGAAAAACCAAGAGGACATTCCCCCCCTCCCACCCCCACCCAACTGGCTTTAAAGGGCCTCTTTTACTGGGTTACTTGAGGCTACAGGCACATAACAATCAAACACTCATAGTAAAGATGGAAGTCGGGAGAATGCAAAGTGGATCAGAATTCCCGCTCCAGCAGACGTCTGTATGAATGTTTTACCCATAGGATAATCACAGTTTATAAAGAAAAGAATGTGACTTATTTTATGTCCTCATTTTATGCCTCTTAGCCTGAGTGCATCTTCCTAAATGTCTAGGGGGAGGGGGGAGCAGAAGAGCAAAGGGATTACAGGACAGACGACGTCTGCGGGGCTTGTACCTTAGGTCATAATCACCCTGAACTGTAGCAGTCTGCAAGGACATTCAGATATGGCACTGAAGCTTCAACTTTCTCCGGGTGGCTTTCGGCTTGGGTTTCCTGAACTTTTCAGAAGAAGAATCCTGATAAGACATTCAAGAAATGGACAGCCACAGTGCTTTCTTCAAATCACATAAGAAATATCATGCATAACAAAGAGAGGTGAGGCGGCTGGGGTTCTTCTGAGTCCCAGTACAGTTTGCTTTGAAATCTAGCGGGAACTGAGCATGAGGAAGAAGAGAGGTCTGCCTCCCCGTGTTTGGTATTTGGGGGGGGTGCGTTATTTTTGCTCTTGATTGATGCGAAAAGTTCACTGAACACCTAGACAAGACTGATTAAAAAAAAAAAAAGATGCTCCTTTTGTGAAGCACCTGATTTCCTGATTTTGATATTTTGCAAAGTTGAAACTTCTTCTGCCAAAGGTAGGCAGTGGCACAAAGTCAAAGTAATATCAATCTTGAGTTCAAATAGGGGTCATTTACTCAAGAAAAATACCCACATGCTATGTACAACAGAACTCATAGATGGTAAAATAACTCAATGTGTCCATCTCTTCAGTGGTAATAGAAGGAAGCATGGCATCAGATTGTTGTGGAATTGGAAATAAAAAAAGAACGGACTCATGAAATTAATATAATTAGTGTTTTACATGTATTAGTTATACGTGGTAGGGATGTATTTCTAGTAAGGCTAGTAGAACGGCATTCCTAAAGTATGTGCGATAAACATTCATCCCTCCAGACAGTCTCCAAAGAACAAAAAGGGCACCACCATTGGGCGGGGGGTGCTGCCTCCCGGTACTCCCTTTCCTTAGTAGGGATTCACTTGCCTGTTTGCACTTTGAAAGCTCTAAGAAGTCCTGTAGTAAAGAATCATGGTAATGTTTTAAAATCTGCACTTCAATAAAGACCTTTGATCACTGAACCCTTGCTTTCTCATGTAATGCCAATGAGCGATTTAGTGGTCTAATAAGTACATTGTGGGGATCTCTGTAGCAGCCCTGGTCAAGGAGATTGTGCAGAAAGTATGATGAGCCCCTAGTGGCATCAAGCATTGTTGCCTTTGGGGTGTGGCCACAACACGGGATCCAGATTGGGAAAGGTTCCCGGGGTAAAACGGGAGAGAAGAAACTTGCAAATCATTTGTCACTTCGAGTCAGAAAGTTGTAGCAGAATCCGGGACATTTTTCCCCCGTAGACTTTATTCAGAATTTTGAATTTTAGAAAGGATCTAGTCCAAAAAAAATGAAAAAAAATACAGCTAAAAAGGAAAAGAAAGATGAGCCAGCCAGTAGTGGAGTTGCAGGTGTTTTTCTTTTTTCGTTAGTTCTTTTGGGCTGAAAATGGATTTAAAATGACTGGAAAGCAAGTTGGAACCTCAAGATCATGGTCTTGTCTTTGTGTGACCCCGTGTCCCTATTCAGTACCAGGGCAAGCCCCGGGGACACCAGGCAATATTTAAGGTAGCGATCTCTCTCTAACAACTACCGGAGTCTCTGGTCCAGAGCTTGTCAAGAATGACACATGATGCTGAAGGGTAGAGAGTCAGCTGGGGGAGTTATGACCCCAGTCCTTGGCGCTTCCTTTCAAGGGGCTGGTCACTGTCCTAGACTAGGAAGGCTAGTAGATAGGCTCTTCCCAGGCCTGGCTCTCCTTGATTTGTCTGAGTTCTTTTCATGCCTGGCCCTCTTAGTCCTTGTTACGAACCAACTCAAGGATGCCTCGAGGTTGCCACTGTCAGTTTATTACTATTTGGTAGAACGTCCATTTATTTTATCTAGAATGGAGTTTTTTTGAGCCTGAATGGGAAGTCTGTGAATAATGAGTTTAGGACAGCAGGCATATACCAGGTGTGTCCCTGGAAATCCAGCATGTCTGCTCCACTCTAACTGGTAAGCCCTTCAGAGCACTGTCTGGAAGGAATGCAGACCAACAGCCATTTTGGTAACCTCGGAGTAATGGCGAGGCTGCAGCTTCCTGCCTGTCTCATACCTGGGCTGCCATGGGGTTCCTCCTGCATGCCGCCTTTGCCTGGAGCAGCATTTAGAGGGCTTCCAATGGAGGAAGGGTATTAATTTTTTTTTTTTTTTTTTTTTTTTTTTTTTTTGCTAGGCTGTCATTTAGAGCAGATAGGTGGTAAACACGGACCATTTCTAGCAGATAACATATCAGTTTATAGTCTGCTGTTAGCCCAGAGGAAGAAAGAAACCAGCTTCCAGGAATAGAATAAATAAGGCTAAGAGCTAGGACATCAGACTGCTGTGGGAACATGATGGCCTTGGAGTTGGGCAGACTGATTCCATAGTTGCCTGGTTCCTTTTGGTGAATAAATCTCAGTGCAGTTTAATTTAAGACTTAAAACCCTCCTATCTGATTCAAAGATCCTCTGTCTTCAGATCCAGCTCCTCCAGTGGGCTAGAGTGGAGCAGAGAAAGAGGGGAAAGGGCAAACATCTGTATCCTGTCAGTGATTGTTGCTCTTCAGGTAACACCAGCTCTTCCATCCTCCTTAGCACATACCTGTGGTAATGTAACCCTCTGCCTTCTGAGGTTGGTACACAATTACCTGCACAGCCCCCTCCAGTGGTAAATCAACAAAATACCCCAAGCCCAGGCTTGTTATACATAAGCTGCTCATTGAAGATCCAGGGGAGGGAATGTTCCAGGCTGAGGGAGCCGAGTGTGAGGGCCCCTAGCAGGATCAAATTTGGCCTGTTCAAGAGGTGAAATGAGTGAAGGGTATTAAAAGGTACAAACTGCCAGCTATAAAATAAATAAATCATGAGGACGTAATTACAGCACAGTGACTAAAATAAAAAATACTGCATTGCAGGGGCACCTGGGTGGCTCAGTGGATTAAAGCCTCTGCCTTTGGCTCAGGTCATGATCCCAGGGTCCTGGGATCAAGCCCCGCATCGGGCTCTCTGCTCAGCAGGGAGCCTGCTTCCCCCCCCACCGTCCCGCCTGCCTCTCTGCCTCCTTGTGATCTCTGTCAAATAAATAAATACAATATTTAAAAAAAAAATACTGCATTGCATATTTGAAAGTTGCTGAGTAGATCTTAAAAAGTTCTCATCACAGGAAAAAAAATTTGTTATCACTGTGTATGGTGGCAGACATTAACTAAATTTGTGGTGATCATATCACAATAAATACAAATATACAATTATTATGTTGCATACCTGAAACTAATATAGTGTGTGTGTGTGTGTATAATATTAATTATACCTCAGGGAGAAAAAGAAAAAAAGAATGACACTTTGGTTTGGGGCCTGAGCCTCTAGATAGAGTCCAGGTAACATCTGCTGAGATGGCAAGAACTGGGGAAGGAAGGGACTGGGTTTGGGATCCAGGGAACGAAAATCAAGAATTTTTGTGTTGGTCTTGTTAGATTCAAATAATAGACACCCAAGTGGAGGAGCA